AAAAGTCTATTAAAAAATCACCCTGACTTGTGGAAAGTACCGAGAGACTGTGCACAGCAGAGAATCAAACAAAGGGTAGGGTGTTTATGGAGTTTCAGACTTAGGAAAAGAATCAATTTTTTAAAGACACATGTTAAATAAATTACCATAACCGTTGTATAACGTACTCATTATCATTTTTTTTAATCACCCCTCGGTGTAGAACATAAAGGCTGATAATGCGGTATTGCTAATGGGTGTCTCCTCAAACGATATTATCAGACTTTGCGGTTATTTTATATTACCTATATATTTTAGACACCATTAGACACTACACAAATAAATGCCTGACAACTCTGGTGATGAGAACACGTTCGTCATAGACTATGGTAGTTGCTTTCGATCGGGTGGGCCATATTTAAGTACTTACTACTACTTACTCGCTAATATTAAGTACAAATAACTTTATTAATTAAATGTAAAATCAAGTAACAGCTAAAATACCAATTAATATATTGCAATTACACTACAATATGGTCACACAAACAAACGGCTACGAAGTATTCTATGCTAGATATAATCAGTTTTAACACTCGACATATAGAGGGCCGTTATGTCACAAGTCCTATCATCAATCATTTTTATTCTCTGCTATATTTTACATTAACATAATAGAGGCATTGATAAAATACTTCATACACAAGAGACTGATAAAAACGGCTCACGTTTTTCTATTCTGTCTGGAGTACTAAAACATTTAAATGGTAGACATTATAACATAATAATAATAATAATAAACATTTATTTGCGAATATGGGTACAATAGTAAAGTTGTTACAAAGGTAATTTTCGTTCCTTCATATTCCACCTTGTGGCATGCAAATATTTCAATATACTTTTGTTTATATTACAATTTCACTAAAACATTTCAAACATAATCTAGACATAATTCATGAGTCACGTCTATATAAAAATCGGGCTACATTCGGGCTACTTATTACCTATTGTGTCCCGTTTTATCTTAAACAAAGTTTAGATTTCAAATCATTGAATATTATAAAAGACAGACTAAAAATACATTTAATTAGGTTAATTCACAAATCGAATCGAGACACGCTTAGACACCGCCAACGTTTTAAAGAAAGCTGAAAAATAATTATCTATCGAGATATTCACATACTTGTGTATGACATGTGGAAAAAAACTTAAGTACCTATAATACACGTGAGTATCCTTCTTTTTGGAATAATGTTAGATGTCGAAGGTCATATTTGCTTGGGCATTGCAATGAGATGTGACTTCTAGCCACATACAGACTAAGTTTAATTTAATGGCAACCCACACAAAATCTAAACGAAACAGCAATATACATAATGTTGAGACGCCACGATCATATAATAAACAGTATTCTTACATAAGCTAATATAGCCGGTTTATTTATAAATATGTTGCTTGTTAAAATTAATGAATCAGTAACAATATCAACGACAGGAAAACCGACATTTAATAAACCGGTTCTGTTATTACATTCGCTTAAACATGTAAATTAAGTGGACAACCGAATAACAGGAAAAGAAATCGAGGTGAAGTCGGTGAGGTCTTGAGAAATAACCGCTAATATAAATATTTATAATGTCATTCGTATTACAATCGCACAGATAAATCTGGACTGAACTCGTATTAGAATTTCAACACATCAACTCTAAATAATAGGTATTGATTTCAAAACCTATTTTTACTTAACAATGTATTGACATTATCGAATTTATTGACGGATGTTTTAGCCTGTAAGAAAGTTATTTTTCCATATTTATTACTAGTTTTTTACAACTATTCCAGCAGTCTCGAGCACACAAAGTAAAAATGTTTTCATGGACTATTCAGAAGGAAAACATATCTAATTATTGAACACGTACTGCCGTCCTAACACGTTAAAACGAAGCTTCCAAACTTCAAAACATGAGACGTGGAAAAAGCCTAAACCTTTTAAAGTTATTGCACTATAACCCAGTAATACTTATATTTATGACTACTAATTTGTACATATTCTCATCCACCAGTATTGTACTGTTGGGCAGCTGCCCCTCGTACGTACGACTTTGTTGGAGAATCCTCCCTTTGTATTGGATTGTGTTGAACATCACAAAGCATTCCTCCACAAGGTCTGTCTCTACGTATACTATTGTGTAACTGTGAACTATTACGTGGAATATGAGTTTATTCAATATTATAATATTATTTTTATGCCATTATAGTCTGTTGACTGTGAGTGAATTTGTTAATTTACTAACCCACTCATAGGTCATTAGCTGAAGTGAGTTATAAACGAACCAACGAACTACAAATATCTCTAACCCTTAACGTTACCTTTTCAAAAATACTCCTCCATATAAACATTTATTTTTACGATACATACATAACAACATATTAACTACGAGTACTTTCGGATTTACCTATACTTGTCCTGTAAAACCTTTTCGCCAAATTGTAAGTGGGCAGTAACTTAACAGGTTTTGAATAACCTGCGATGTTGATATAATAACGTTTAAATGGGCGTTATTTTGCCCGCTCCAACCGGAGATATTTGTTGTTAAATTCGCCTTGATACATTCAAGTGTTCTTCAAAAAATTATCATCAATGGCCTTTAATAGCCCACTACTGAACATAAGCCTTTCCCTAGAAAGGAGGTTTTGGCTTACTATACTACGCAGGTTGGTATAGGGTTTGATTCAAGTTTTACTTCTCTTTTTTGCATTGTTCTTGTCCTGCACAATTTGCTCCCTTAGTCGGCTCTGACGACACCCACGGATCGAATAGGGGCCGTGACACTCCGTAATAACATCTTATATATAAAATTCTCGTGTCACAATGTTCGTTCCCGTACTCCTCCGAAACGGCTTGACCGATTCTCATGAAATTTTGTGTGCACATCGGGTAGGTCTGAGAATCGGCCAACATCTATTTTTCATACCCCTAAATGGCAAGGGTGACCCATCCCTAATTTTTTTTTTTGTTTTACAATACAACGTTTGCCGGGTCAGCTAGTAATAATATAAAAGACTTCCAAGCTATCCATGCCAATTGTACAAGTTTTACTAAAATAAATTAACGAGCAATTAAAAGGTGATTAAAATGCAGAGTCGATCGCGCTGTATGGAGGAAACTCCGATCTCCTTGTGCCACTCTTAATTTGAACAAGGCCCACCTCACCTAGAGTACATGCTAGATACTTAGATGTAGCAATAGCCTGGAAAACACTGGGGCATTATAAGTGAGTATTTGGTGAATTTGAGATAGTATGGTCATAAAATATGCTATAAGGCGAAATCTGCCAAAATCAATGGTAATATTTGTGATAGCCGTCAGTTAAAAAATGTTGTTGAGAATGTGAAATCTCTTTTTATAATAGAATATGACAAACACAAACTGTCTCGTTCCATTTTTCGCATATTTGAGTTAGTGGTGTTGGAAAATTGAAACGTGTTAAATCTTATACGTTTTTGTAAAAGGTTTGTTGATTTGTTTTATATTAGTACTCATCATCATCATCAACAGCCTTTAATAGTCCACTGCTGGACATGACATATTAGTACTCGTAAATGCATTTTAAGTTTGATATTCATTTTTCAAATGTATTAAGAAAACAGAAAAAAAAAACAACTCTGATGTCAAATATTATGAAATTATTTATATTATAGTTCAAATGAATATTTACGTCATCAATGATTGACTTTCAAGCGACTTTGTTTTCAGTACCACTTAATATTTCCAGCCTTAACCTACGAAAGGTAAAATCTTGTCAACCTTAAAATAACCCCGAAAGCTAGTGCTGCCCTCATGCAAATTAATCTTCAGGGTTGATTGATGACTTCATTTGAAAAGGGGTAAGGTCCAAAGGGGTAATAACCAAATTAAATGGCTGGACGAGACCTCCCAAACGAATATGACCTCGACTATGTTTGCAAAAACGTGAAGGCAATTTTTTTATGCGAGCATTTCAAGTATTTTTACAACACGGACTACGCAAATGGTAATTGTAATTATTTTATTATCTCGATAGTTTTAGGTACCCTTACCAATTCAAAGTATATATAATTGTATACTAATAAATTCAAAAGCCGTAGGCGTTCATAACTCATGCGTAATTAAATGTCGAGTTTCTTCACTCGAAAGCTATGATACCATACACGGGAGAACCACATAGGCAGAGTTTCGTATACAAAATAACATGCATTGACGGACTGCGTACTCAGTCGAATATTGCTCCACGTCCAACCCACGCCGAAGGCTATTATTCATACTTGTTATATCGACATTTTCACGATAGTCGGCATCAGTCGTTTATCTGCGGACAACGCTGCCGCCTATCTAGACTCGACACCTAGATCGTCAAAAGGCCGTTGGCCCGCTTTACACGCGCGTGGGTCGCGTATTATGTGCATGCCACATCACAGATACAGATACGGATACAGTTACGCGTATCTAATGTCTCCTATAGACCCACATTGTTTTTGTATAGCGTGTTTCAATCATCTAATTACGCAAGTGCAACGTCTTGTCATGAATAACTATTTTGCGCCAGCCCGCTAACGCTCACTTGCCAAAAGCTATTAATTACGACCGAAGAATAGAATATCTCGTCGGCTAATCCCCTGGAGATGGTTACGGTTACCGACAACGTTGATTAATGTTCGCAGCGTTCGTTTAACTCTTCTTTGTATACATTCATCGGTTGTGTAAACGCGAATAACCTTCTTTCGGGTTGCTCAGACGTAAATAGGTACGCATCCGTCGTACAAATAAATAAATTATACGCGATGATCCGGCACAGACGCGCTCCGCTTGAAACCTTGAACACGTGTACGTGTAGATATTAAACGAGTTTTATAGATGAAGCAACGAAGGAAAGTGACCGTTTTAAGGTTGTATCGATAATTAAAGTTGGTGTCAATTAGTAAGTCGTCTTCACCGGTATGGCAACAACGACTTAAGGACGCATTCGAAGCCAGAACAATAGAGAATGGAGATGGGCTCGTTTTGTGTAGTTACCTCGGTTCTGGCTGACATTGTGCCGAGCGATAGCGGGCGTGCGAAGAATGCCAATGGAAACAACTTTACTGTTGGTTTCCTCGAAGCCGACACGCGTGACGAACCGAGAACCGGTTACACGACACCAGACAAAAACAATGCATTAGCAATGCTTTTCATTAATTTTAGACTTGCTTGCTATTTTACTTATAAACTTGAAGAAAATACGGAGAATTGCGACATGCAAGTGTGAACAGTATAATTGACGAATGAAAGCAAAGTTTACGCTCCTATAGATGTCATTGATATAAATGAAACTAGACCAGAACATGATGCAATAACAGCAAGTGTAAAAATAGTTTGAAAGAGGTGCATCCTGTCGGTAAGTCAGCTGATGAACGGTTTAAAGCTGAGAAAGCAATCAGAAATGAAAGAGATGTAAACTGTAAGAACGATGCGAATACATACGACCTATATAAAACGGTGTTTGGAACGTAACAACGTCGGCTAGGCACTCTACTAATATTTAAATCTGTTGCAACTTGCAACGTGGTGTATAATCGTGAGATTAAAATAGGTCACCCGGGAGGCAAATAAACCAAGAGTTATTGAGCAAATGTGGCAAACACATTACATCCGCATAATATAACATTTGGTCCTAATTCCAACAGCAAATATCACATATCTGTAATATATTCATATCACGGCTGTTTGATCATACTAATAATTTACATAAATTATGGACGTACATAAACTAAATAAATATTGCTCAACTAAAACAGTAATCAAATATTTTAACGTGAATATTCTAAAACAGGTAGTATGACCTCCCTATAATAATTTGACGGGTATATGAAGGTGACCAAGCGAATATAATTGGAAATGGAACACATCTTTGTTGTCACAGAGTAGAGTCTAGACGACAGCATGACAAAAGGAAAAAGTAACGACCAAATGTTTTATTCTGTATTTTTTTTAATAAGTACTCGTAAGAGCGTGGCAGATCATGTCTTAACATTTGTCATGAAACTAAAGAAACAGTTGTCTTAGTGCTAAGTTTGTGGATGGAGGTATGTCAGCGGCAATTGTGCAAACAGTGTTGCGCAATCTATCATAGTATTGTCGATTGTCGTCAGGGAATTCAAGCAAGGTTAATAGTTTACAGACGATGTCATTTTAACATTCGCGTCGTGACTATAAATACCTCACTTAATGCGGATCGCGAACGGATTTACCTGTTTATAATCTTGATAGCTGTATACAGACTATACAGGTACGCTTTCTAAAATTAGTAATATTTATGGCAAAGAAAAAACCGAATATACATACGTATATAATATGTTATACTAGTCAATTTATAATAGTACAAAGTATGTATAAAGAAATATTAATAGCATATGACTTTAAAAATTCATAATAGTAGATTTTTTCGCTTTCTAGCAAATTCACTAGGTGTATTATTAACAGATACACTCTCATGCCGCTAAAGTTGTGTTGTAAAGTGCAGTTGAATTTTCAAAATTGCAAATTACACTTATAGAAATTATAACTATTTCAGGTATATGTATGAAGTATTTATAATTTCCATAAGTGTCATTGCATAGTCGGGTGTAAGCTATAAAAAATAACATAGTTAACCATATCATTTAACGTTCAGTGGGTCTATTTAGGTATTAAAAGGTAAAACTGCAAGTGATTAACCACAGATAAAGAAAAAATAATTATTACAATACCCGTTATTTAATAAAATATTAATATATTCAATAAAATTAACGAATGGTTAATTTTATTTTTGCAATATCCGTAATCCAATCTTATTATGACGAGATTTAAAACTAATAAAATATAATGAAACTTATCTACTTCATGTTATGTGTAACACCATGACTTTTGTCAAAAGATCGGTCCTAATATAAAAATTAAACCTGGTTTAAAACTGAACAACATAGAAAAATTAAAAACAAACCGCGTTCCGACTCACAACGACTGATATACATTCAATCAATGTACATAAAATCAAGATGAACCAGATTAAAATGAGATGTCGTATATTGAAAAGATTACGCACACCACTTGGCGTGGGTTCAATTCCTGTTTGAAGTATTTTAGGAGCCACGCACGCCCGCCGCGCCGGCCTGTTTACAAATACTAGCTTAAACTCGATTCAATTTCAGTAGATTTTGTAAACAATGTGCCAAAAGAGATTGGGTAAGCGTTTGTTTAAGTAATGTTTTCAAACTTTTGCAGCAGAAGGCATTTGCATCTCCAAACATATATTATATTTAAAAATGCGTGGTGTACTTGAAATATTGTCCATCGTAGACTAGTCAATGTAGGTGGAATAGTAAAAAAGTATATCTCATTTCACATACGAATGTAAACAATATTGAACCACAGCTCAGTTAATTTGCATCCCAGTCATGATGGAAAAGTCTAAAGTCCCTTTAAAAGTCAAACAGAGTATAAATAATTGATGAATCAGGCGATCGTCCGGTTCATTGTCGCGGAAGAAGAAATCGAGCGAAACGACTGCCCCAGTATCGATAAACCAACCGGTTCTACAGGCGCACCACTATATTCGTGGGAGAGAAGGACAAAATAAAAAGTCAACGGATTCTCACACAAAACTGAGATATTTAGATATTTTACTTGGAATGGAGAAAGGAATAAATTATACGGTATCGTGTTCGACAATGAAACGGCAAAAAAATTAAAGATTCTTCTCTACCTGCCTGCGCCGAGGGGGCCCTTTAGTTATATGAAAAAACTCTTAACAGGTTCTCGGAATGAAATTCCAAAGTAGTTTGATAGCATATGACTGGATCGATTCGTAGTATTATGTTAAAGAAATACGATTCATTAATGAGTATGAGATTAATCAGATGGCCAGATAGGCTTTCTGGTTAATTATTTCTAATGATTTCAAAAAAAATAAAATAAAGATTGGTAGTGGCCATTTTAAATTCTATTAGCTTTAGATTTTGAAGATTTAAAAGTCAATGTTTATTCATATACCTGCCGAAATCTTAGTTGAGAAAAAAATAATCCTCCAAAGGAGCAAAAAAAACAGACCGAAACCACAATACAAGTTTAACTAGTTTCTTTATAGCTTCGGCAAACACGTTTCACGGGGAACGCACGATTTGATCCGACGACTCGCCGTTGTAAATACTATAATTGAGACTAACCACCGTCTACAGAAACAACTTAAAATGTAAACTGCTCTTACATACTAAAGTCTGAATTCGCTTGGACAAATTCGCACATTATGCATCTAAATATAGAGGTGAAACAAAAAGTCTCAAATCTCGTAAATATTTCGACATTTTTGCCTCAAGCGAGTGGTTATTTTGTGTTTATTGAGTTGACTCTTGATTGCTCCGCTAAGCGATTACTGGATCATTGAACTTGGAATTTAGAATATTTTATACTTTGTATTTCTTTATATTATTAACTGTGAATAATTTTAGATCAATATAGCTATGTAGTAATAAAATTGCAATGTTGCGTAAAGTCGCAATTCTGCTACTAAGAATTTCTCTATGATAATGTGCCATCAAGAGAATTCTAAAGGATCTAAAGCTTAAAAAATATAGTTATATAACAACAAAACAGTTTCTAAAAATACGTTTATAATAGTGTATCATTTATTATAATAACAGACAGCTGTTTGTGTGTCAGTAATAACCTTGGGACCTGTCGACATTCACCCAACCCTCCATAAGAACCACGCGGCGTAGCATGTGTTCGATCAACGCGGAGTTATATTTAAAGCAAGTCAATGTTTGGCTACAAACATTATAAAATAAGGAAAGGATACGTACTTTGATAACTATCCTTTTTCTTATTTTACTATCTTATATATCGGTTAATTACTCAAGCACCTACATAAATTTCCATTACAGATAAAACAGCCGTTAAGAAAATGCCAACCTTATTTTTTTTATTTTAAACTTGAAAATAAAGCAACAAGTGAATATTGATAGAACTAAGAAGCAGATGAAAAACAGATGAAATACTGTCTGTTACGACAAAAAGGGGTCAGTGACTGCGCCAAGGGGTGTTGAGAGGTGGCAAGAGGGCTGTAGAACGCGGGGGCGGAGGAACCGTAATAACACATTTGAAAAAAGAACCCCAAACATCTGCCACACATGTGCGTTTCGTTTCATAGTGAAATAATGCAAGTGGTGCGCGCAACCGCACCGATACGACCAAGCCTTTTTGTGCAGTAGCTTTTTGTAGTCTTCACGCTTTGTGCACGCAAGCTTTCAAACGGACAATGGTTTTTTTATTAGTAAGGAAATCAATACATTCGTGACGTTTGTGATGAGAATACAAACGTTTGAGTGCTGATCCGAATAGGTGAATAATATTTGCTTTCATTTTGCATTTAGAAACTAGCTGTATTATTACTCTATAACAGTTACGTGATTAATATATCTGATAACCAAAACGCGTAATCAATAATTTGGTGCTGAATGCCTCACTAGTGAAATCTGGATGCATTTCTTGGAAGATGGGCACATACTGGAACGATGCCAAGCCAAAGCGAGAGGCGTCGTGTGGCACTTGAATCTATGTTCATTATACGTACATATTCACTCCAGTTTATGTTAATTATGAATCATTTAGAAACAGAGCAGGTGTCTACGTTTTGCTAATAACACATCTGTTTTCTATGTTTATCTAGTAGAGATAAGATTACAATATTTTATATACTTATACTATAAGTAATTTTGTGAGCAGAAGTGATGTTATTGTGAGATATTATTAAAAACCTGTGCTAAGCAATTTTCAAGAGGTGTACATGGGCGAGGGTGGTTACTTACCATCAAGTTACCCGTCTGTTCGTTTGCCCCTATGATCATCATGATGATAATAGCCCCTATGCCATGACCAAATTTGCAACCATATCTTTTGATGAGGGTAATACGAAGACTTAGTTTTGAAGTTCAGACGTTTGTGCTTCCGCAAAATATGTAAAAGTGATAGGCTTTTATCAGTTAAAATCTTGTAAATGATTAATGGAGATTTATTCGTACCTTGGTGAGTAAATTGTAGTTCTTCATAGACGGTTTAGTCTATGCCCACTTCCATGCCCTGTAATGCTTCTAAGACTAAGACATGCGAGTATTGAATAATCCGATTGTGCAGGAGTTGAGCTCTGTTAACTATCACTGTCTTATGCTATGGTAATACGAAGATACCAAGAATGACATACAAATATTCAATTCTAATTGCTAAATTTATTAT